GAGTTCATAACCCACTTCAATCTAATGTATGAAATATGATATGTCAAGAGCTTTGTAATGTTGTGAACAACTAATAAAAAAAATAATAAAATAAAAAAATGTTTAAAAAAAACCAGACCAGACCAAGAATTCAACATATAGGGTATATTCATATTGTATTAATCAAGACATGAAAATTTAAAATATTGAGATTATTTTGGTCAGAATTTTTTTTCATGCCAATGTGCAAGTAACTAGAAACCAGGAATAATCAAACAAATTCGTACACTGAAAAAAAAATATCAGAATTAAGCTGAAATCAGTAATAAAAGAAAATTTCTAATTATGTAAAAATCAAAGAATAAACTTTTATGAGAAATCATAAAGAAATAAAATATTTGGGAACTGAATTATAAAAAAATACAAAAATTCAAAACTTCTGTAATGTAGGCAAAAGTCATGTATATAAATTAACTTAGACCCTTAAGTACAGATATTAGGAAGTAAGAAGGGCTGACTACCTGATAGTACCCACTAAAGTGTGCTTTTTCTTTTATATTTTTCAGGTCCTGGGTACCAAACCTAGGGCCTCACATATTCTAGGTAACCATTCTACTACTGAGCTATATTGCCAACCCTAAAATGTGTATTTTTTGACACAACAATTCAACTCCTGCACACACACACACCCAAAAAAAAAAAAAAAACAAATTGTGCACCAAAAGATATACATAAAAGATGTGTACATTAACATGTAACTCTAACAGTAAGAAATTGGCAATAAACTGTAATGTATATTGTTATAGGTTGGATGTGATGTGTCCTCCAAAAGCTCTTTCGTTAAAGCAGAAGATGAAATGATTAGATTAGATTATGAGAGCTATCACTTAGTCAGAGGATTAATAATTATGGATTAATGCTCTGACTAGATTAATGCTCTGGGTAGTAACTGACTATAGGCAGGTGGGCACATGGCTGGAAGAAGTAGGTCACTGGGGGATGACTTGAGGATTATATATTTTGTTCCTGGCTCCCTGTACTCTTTCTCTGCTTCCTGGCTGCCAAGAGCTGAGAAGTTTTCCTCCATAATGCCTTTCCACCATGATGTTCTGTCCCACTTCAGATTCATAGCAATGGAGTCAAGTGACCATGTACTGAACCTGTGAGCCAAAATACACTTTTCCTCCTCTATGTTGTTCTTGTCAGGTATTTTGGTCACAATAATGAAAAGCTGACTACATATATAACAATGGTAAAAGGGATATAAAGAATTTACGGTGTGTACACCAAAGTAGAATGTTGTATAGCGATAAAAGCAGATTGGATGAATCTTGAAATGCTATTGAACAAAAGAAGCCATCAAATACTACAGATGGTAGCATTCCAGTTTTACAAATTACAAAAAAGACAAAAAATTAACCTGTATTTAACAAGTATGTTAACAAGTATTGTTTTTAGGGGGTCATAATGAAAAGTAATGCAATGAGGGGACACAATGGAAACTTCTGTGGTTATAGTAATAACCTATTTTATGATCTTGGTATTAGTTACATTTATTAATTTGCTTAGTGAACAGCCGTTAAGACACCCCCCAATCAAGGAAAAACAAGTTCTGGTCTTAACAGCTATTTGATCAAAAAGATTTCAGGCCAATATTAGGAAACACTCCTGTGTGAAGAATTGTGGGGAACTAATAAAGTCTGACTTCAAAGAGGAATGACATTATGACCTAAGTTGCAGTCATCTTTAAATACTGGGTTGTTTCACGAAAGAACAACTTGATTTAGCTCTAAAAGACAAAACATAGCACAATGAAAGAAAGTAAGTAATCAAGATTTAAATTCTGCTAATAATAAATCCCAATAATGGAACGAAGATTGTCTCAATCACAGATACTGAACTTGTTTAAACAAAGGGGAAAAGACCACCCAGCAGGGAAAAGTGGAAAAGTCTGCTATACCAAATGGAGATAGGAGACGATCACTAACTAACCTCCCTTCCATGACCTTTAGTATCTATGCATCCAACCAAAATAAAAAAATCTTACCCTTAATCGTGTAGTGGAGATCTCAGCTTTTAAAATATCAGGATCATATTTAGTACTGGATGAAGATCCTGAGAATACTTTTGAAAGAGAAAAAAAGAAAGAATAATTATTTTCAAGTTGCCTAACTAGTTCTCTCACTTTAGAATTTACTGACTCTAAAAAGAAGATTTATATTCTTCAGTGGATACTTACTTTCTTTTTGCAATTCCTTTGTCATTCAGACACCTAAATATAAAAGTAATCTTCAAACCTCTATAATAATTTTAAAACTCATGAAAGAGAAATAACATAAATTAATTTATTCTAGATTGTATATATACTATGTCCTTAGAGAACTATATTGCAGATGCAGCTAATCAGGGATTTACATTTTGCATGTACTTATAATTTAAGTAGAACTTCCAAGCCCATCAAAACTGCTTCTTTTAAAAGGATCAGCTCCAGATTATCCATATATAAGATAAAGGAGAAGTAAATGTGGTGGGGGTGCAGTGTGCAGAAACTTTGTTCTAACTAATAGTTCCAGTTTCTCATCACTAAAAATATTGTACAAGAGTAGCAAATGGGGCCAAATGACTTGCCTTGTTCTGTAAAAGTACAAATCAACTCATCAATGAATAAAAAGCATTATAAGAGGCAAGAGTAAAAACAGAAGGTATGCATAATTCCCAAATGGGGAAACTTTTATCTGGAAATGGGTCTGAGATATTTTACTGAGAAATCTGTAAGGTTCCCTCACCTCTCATGGCTTAGAGGAATTCTTCTTGCCTAGGAAAGGAAAAGGGCTAAAAAAAAAAAAAAAAGTGCAACTGGCCTTCTATTATCTACAACCCCATCTTCATTTCTAAAGTATGAACAGCCACACTGTACTTACGGCTTGTGTGAGAACTTGACTTTTCCTTATAGGCATCATTTAATCGTACATATTCATCTAGGGCCAAAGCCAGTCTTTGTTCCTTCACGTGGTACAGCTCCTTCTGTGTCCTGAGTGCATCCTGAGCCACTGAGAGATAGTCCTTGAGCATTTTCTCCTGTTCCCCTCGCCATTGTTTTCTTGGATCTTCTATCTGCGTGGTTTCTGAAAATATAAAAGGTGAGGTTTGCTTTGTTTTACAATTTAACCGTGTTTAGAGGATTTAAGCTCAAGGGACTATCTAGTTTAAATTCTCGTATCCTCTAAAAAGTTTATTAGCATTTCTGGAGTGATTTCTCCAAAAATTCAAGAGCTTTTGTTTTTTATTTTGCCAAATCTCCAACCCCTACCCCTTCATTTTCAGGTTCTTGCCAAAAACACCAAAAACCTTCTTACTATAAATCCATCATACAAAAGTTGCCATTCAGGAGAGGGGATGGAACTCAGTAATAGAATGCTTGCCTAGCAAGTGTGAGCCCCTAGGTTGAATGTCCAGCAAGAGTAGGAGAAGTGGGATGGCAACCAGATCATTCGAATTCTCTGGCTCCCCAACACCAACAGAATAAAAAGCAAGCTATTCATTACAGCATTTGAGGCTCTGTACACTCTGTACTCAACTCACTTTGCTTGCCCATGATTCCATTAATATAGGACTCCTAAGGGTCTGCCCTCTACATCAATGCCACTCCAAATCTGGTTCACAGACTACTAACAATCTATGAGTTCAGTTTCCTGTCCATGACAATAAGTAGGAAATCAAGAGTCAACATTTTGAAATCTTCATATCAATTTTATTCAGTTATTGTATATCTGTAGAATCTAATAATATTGGGGTTTGCATTATTTTATTTTTAATTTTTCTAGTAATTCATCTTTATTATATTTTATCAAAATATCAGTCAGTACATGGTAGAGTATAAATTGAAAAACAAACAAACCCCCAGTTCCTGGCTTAAGGAGAACGCTCTATTCTAAGGTACTTGATTCTGCATACTTGAATCACCTAGAGACTCTGTAAAAATTTCTAGACCAATAAAACCTCTTCAGGTCGAATACAGCCTCTGATAGGCTTACTTTCATTTTTTTAAATGTAGTTTGTGAGTTATTTGTTTGATACTGGGGATTGAACCCAGATCTAACACATGCTAGGCAAGTGCTCTACCACTGAGCCACAAGCCCAGTGTTCTGGTAGTTTAAAAGCTCTTCAGAGGACCCAAATGAACGTCCAAGTCTGAGAACCACTGCTTTACAATGAAGCTCATATGCTATCTCTTACATGAAGCCCCCCTGCCAACCCCTCAACTGCCAGCAACTCTTCATCTGGGGTCCTCCATAGCAATTTATGCTTCTTTTTTAAATTTGAAATTAATTCTTCACTATTTGGTAAGCCACAAAGCATAAATAAAAATGAAAACAAAAGGATACAGACCATCCTGATTTTTAAAAAAATTTTATAATAGACAAATGTTTTTGTGACATGTTGAGCCAAGAAGTTGGGGTACACTGGTGTCTGGCACTGGGATACCATGGTGCTTTCAAGGGACTGGGCAGTGGTTGTTAATTCACAAGAAGGCTAGTGCAGGTTGGCTAAGGAATCTCACCTATGTCTACAGATATGTACTACACCTCTCCACTGTGAGACAGGGTAGTAGCTGTCTCCAGGCAGAGGAAGGGTTATGATGGGGAAGATTACGTAAGAGAGGCTTCTTGGGTGCTAGCAATATTGTTTCTTTCACTTGTCACAATTACATTACCAAATTATTTGTTCAACCTATGTATTTTCAACTGTGTACTTTCCATGTTACATTTCATAAATATAAATATTTTAAAAGTCAGGGTATTATGACTTAAGATTTTGACTCTCCCAGAATATTTTGCCTGGGTGTACCCCAATAACACCAAATACAACCTGCAGATAATCTGGGGAAAAAAAGGAGGTTACCTTTAATATAGAAAATACATGAGGTTTGATACACACAGATTACATGAAATGGAGATTTAATTTTTTAAAAAAGCATGTTGAAGACCATGATACAGGGCCACTAACTAGAATACTAAAAAGCATTTATGAAACAATGATTCTCAGATATTAGACAACAGGTAATAAAGGACTATGATCTCTAAAAGAAGGAAAATGAACTCTAAGATTACCTCCACATTTCTGCCTGAAAATATTTTTGGACAGCAGTGCAAAAGGGATAATCTGAGCAGAGAAAGGAGGTCCTGCTAAATTACGGAGGGAGCACAGATTTCAGGAGGGTCCTGATAGATGGAATTTGTAGAATGGAGTTATAGAAGATCCAGAAATTTGTAGAGGAGCTGTATTAAGTTTCTGGGTAAATACTAAGATGCACAAATGGGGGCAACACAGAAGGCCAGGCAAACAATAATTGGAGCTCTGTAAGTAGAAATTCTCAAGCACATGCAGGGCTATGCCAGGTTCAAATTGTGATTAGCCAGAGGCAAGTGGCTACAGTAAACATCTGGGAAATTCGGTGGCAACAACTGTGGAGTTATACTCTAGTCTTGGTGCTAAGTAAGACAAAGAGCAAAAGCTACTTTGAATATGACCTATAAAACTCTAAAACAAATATCTAAAGAATCAGGTAACTTAAGTACTCTATTGAGTGGGTGGTGGTGGTGGGATAAGAAGAAAACTCTTTTTAAAGGATTAAAAAAAATTTGCACCCAGGAATAACCAACCAAACAAACAAACAAAAAAAAGTAACTACTTTTCAGCATCCACTAGAAAGTTACTAGATAGGATAAAACAAAACAAATATATGGCTCACAGCCAGGAGAATAATCAATTAGTAGAAAGAAACTTGAAAATATAAAGATGATAGAATAAGCATAATCTGGATAAAACAGCTATCACAGTTCTGAAATAAACACACACACACACACAGAGTCCATCCCAATGGCTAGGACACAGGTAAAAAGAGGCTCAACATCATTAATCATCAGGGAAATGCAAGTTAAAACTATGAAGTGATACCACCACACCATAACTAAAATGACTAAAATTTAAAAACAGTGACGTCAAGTGATGGGACGTGGAACAACTGAACTCTCATTCATGGATACTAGAAATGTAAAATACCATAATTTGGTTGTGGGAGGTATAACTTAGCCATTACCATACAGCCCAGTAACTCAATAACTTGTTATCTGCCCAAGAGATATGAAAATACATATCCACAAAAAAGACCTGTATACAAATTTTCATTAACAGCTTTACTTATAATAGACAAAACTGTCCATTACAAGTCAAAGTAAATTTTTGTATAACCACACAATGAAATACCACTTAGCAATAAAAGAAAGCATAATACTAACATACAACATGTATGAATCTCAAACACATGAGGAGGGAAAGATGGCAGACACAAAAGAGTACATGCTGCTTGTTTCCATTTATATGAAATCCCAGACAGAAGTAAACTGAATCTAATGACAGGAAGCAGATCAGTGGTTGTCTGGACCCAGCAGTCTGGGAAGTACTTGTTACAATGAACACAAATGTTCTTTTTGAGGTAATGAAAGAAATGCTGATTATTGCAATGGTTACATGGTACACATTTGCCCAAACTCATGAATTATATACTGAAAATAGATGCGATTTGGGCTGGGATTGTAGCTCAGTGGTAGACTGCTTGCCTGACATGTGTGAGGCACTGAGTTTGATCCTCAGCAACACACATAAATAAATAAAATAAAGGTACTGTGTCCATCTACAATAAAAAATACATATATATATATAAAAGATCAATTTATTATATCATATAATCTAATAAAGTTGATTGAAAATGTGTTTTTAAAAGTTTGAATGAATAATTACAATGTTAAAGAGAACTGAGGTGTAATGGTAACAATTAAAACATTATTTCAGCCAACATCCTTTGTCACATCAGCTGCTGCAAAAGAGCATTCATTGGTTAGGGAGTAAGGTCATGTGGGTTCTAATCCTGTTCTGTTATTAGGCAACTGTAGAAATTGGGGCAAATCATTTTACCTTTATATCAAGTCTCTCAAATGTAAAAGGAAGGGAACATGTTGGATTAATATTCTGATATTCTGACTCTGACCACTTTTAACCTTTGTGGTGAACACTGCTGGGGTCCTATCTAAATATTCTTAGATCTCTTTTCCCAGGTCTGTGCACCTGGTCCCTGAATTTAGCCATTCTTCCTTGTTAATATATGGTTCATTCTTAAAGGACTCCAGAAGATAGCTCTTGGGCACTCAAGAAACCTTCCCTACAGCTAAAGATTAACCAGTGAAACAGATAGGAAAAAATTTCCATGTACAGCAAATTCTGAGATGTAGATTACACTCCAGATCCGATCCCAATCCTGTGGAGTCTGGGACTTTAGAGAAATATGACCTATGTCTGTATTTTCCCCTCACTATCCTCCTTTTCCTCATTTCCTTACTGGTTTATCCTGTGATTTCCTTCATAAATCACTTTCACTTAAATTCTTGGCTTAGGGGGGCCTGCTTCCAGAAGAGCCCAACCATGTATAACCTTTTATAATCTATGCAAATTAAGTGAATCAAGTTTGATCCTGGGTGGTAATTCTCATATCCTTCATGTGACAGAAACAGTGGGGGAAAGAAGGAATGGAAGAGAGAAAGAGGATGAATCACTCTTGAAAACACAAAAGAGGGGGTTGGGGTTGTGGCTCAGTGGTAGAGCGCTCGCCTAGCATGCACAAGGCACTGGGTTCGATCCTCAGCACCACATAAATGTAAAATAAAGATATTGTGTCCACCTAAAAATTAAGAATAAATATTTTTTAAAAAAGAAAATTTTGTCATTAACAGAGAAACTCAATAGTCAGTTCTAGCAATGTTTTTTAGGATACCGATGGAGAACTGAATAAGTAAACTGCCCTGGTTATTGAAAAACATAAAATCAGTTAGATTAAGACACAGCCTAATTACTTCAATAAAATTATTTCTATATTCCATAACAACATCGCTCCTTAGATTTTAAGCATCTGATATCATATCATACTTGAAAATACCACCACAGCCCATTTTGAGCTGCTTTTTCAGGGGTAGAGAGAGTATATTAGTCAGCCCAGGTGCCACTCTCAAAATGAAAGGTAGAGATTGGGGGGGTGGCAGGTAATGGGTCATACAGAAGGAGTGTTCTAACC